GCACACTGAAACGAACATGGGTCGCGGCTCTTCGTGGAGAAGAGAAGACAGTTCGTGTCCCCACGCCACGACACTAATAATAGAGGTGTTTGTACTGTAAGTTGAATTTACCAGATATTTTTGCATCAATAGAAAGCCCTCACCCCCAAACTAACAAGGCTAAAATATTAGCTCTCCTTGGCTTGCCTAGAGGGAGATATTCGAATTTTAAGGTATTTCCAGCATATGTAATGTGTCCACAATTGAAAATTTTCGAAGAATTTTTTTAAAATTTTTTCGTGACGGTTGGATAGAGCTCGTCGAGTTGCATGAGAAAAGGTATGTTTCAAATTTTAAAAACATATTTTACGGAAGTCCGAATTTTCGATCTATTTTGAGTCTGTTCCCCTTATAGTCGACAATAATGGTATCTTGGACTCTTCGTAAAATATGTTTTTAAAATTTTGAAACATCCCAGGTAATTCGATCCGACTGTCGGATTACGTCGGATTATATCGGAAAAATTACCGGATTTTAACGGATCCGACGGGAACTCGTCGGAAGTTGTCGGCGTCCTAGCCACAGGATTCCGACAGGAGGTTCCGGATGTCGGAATAATCAGGATCCTGCGAAATCCCTGAAACTTCGACACTTTCCGACATCCAGAACCACTTGTCGGAATCCTGTGGTTAGGATTCCGACAAATTCCGGCGAATTTCTATCGGATTCGACAGGGTGAATTCGACCTGGGATACCTTTTCTTATGCAATTCGACGAGCTCTATTCAAGCATCACGAAAAAAATTTAAAAAATTCTTCTAAAATTTTCCATTGTGGACACATTACATATGCTGGAAATACCTTAAAGTTCGAATATCTCCCTCTAGGCAAACCAAGGGGAGCTAATATTTTAACCTTGTTAGTTTGCCGGTGAGAGCTTTCTTTTGATGTAAAAATGTCTAGTCTTTTCAACTTACAATACAAACACCTCCATTGTGAGATAAAAGATCAGTTACATACGGAAAATATGTTTTGGTGAATTGAATACTTTAATATAGGGGTGTCGCTTCGAAAATCCTGAAACTGTTGCAGCAGCATTCTTGGCATTAGAATTAGTTTATATAAAATTTATCTTTTGTCTTTTTTGCTGCTCGCATAGGGAAGTGTCATCGAATTTATAAGTTTGTAGTTTTTATATAAAAATTTATCTTTTTCTTTCTTTTGCTATTTGAACAGAGAAACCTTTTTATTCATTTATTTTCGAAGTCATAACAGATAGTGAACTGTTGATTTGTATTTGAACTCAAATTAGGCAACTCATGGAAAAAGAATATATATGTTGTGGTCAAAATTAAAATTCAGTCAAATTAAAAATTTGACAAATCGTCTGGACAAATTTAAACTTTGCCTAGTCAAAAAGTCAGTCAAATATTAAATTTGCCCAGAAAATTTAGTCACATTTAAAACTTGTCTGAATTTTAATTTTGACTACAACATATACATATATATGTATTACTCATCTGTTTAAAACATAGCATCTCCATAATTATTGTATTATTCTTGTTATCTGTTAATACCGTATTCGTTGCACTGAAAAAAAGAAAAGTATCATATCGAATCTTTTTTGCAACGAATTCTAAACCCTCGGAGGGGTTTCGTATAAACCTTTGTTCCCTTCAAAATGATTGTCATCGATCAAAAAGTCTTTGTTAAAGGTTCGGTGGGGCTTTTCAGGGTTTGGTACGAAACCTAGAAAGGTTCAGAATTCGTTGCAAAACTCAAAACCTTTAAAGGTTTCGTACATTGTACGGAACCCTTTTTTTGTCTACGAAACCCTCTAAGGTTCGGTAATGTGACCATTTTTTTTTCAGTGTGTGTCACACTTTTGTTCTTGCTTTTCTTCTCCTTTAATTTCTTTGTTTTTTCTTTTCTTTTCTTTTAATTCACTTCGCTATTATTATTTATGATCCTAAAGCTCAATTGCCCCTCTAGGATCGGCATGGTCATAGAACAAAAGAATGCTGATAATAAAAAGAACTTGAGTGTAACTCAAACATTGAATCCTTTCATCAAGAATATATTTGCATTGTCATACTGATGAGAATAACTCTCAGCTATCAGTGAGAGAATAATATGTACTCAACTAATGTGTTTGCAGTTCTGCAGATTTTCTTTATTTTATGATCATAATAACGTCAATAAAAAAGATTACAACGAAACGAACTGCTTTCATGAGACAAAGAAAGTATGACTGCGTGCACAAGTCAATGACAATACAAAATTTCAGTAGAAGCAGCGGCATAAAACAGTTACAAAAGAATTTTACATCGATGACGACATGACAGTGCAATTTAACTAAATGCATAGATAAGAAAGGAAACTCATTCAGATCTACATTTCAAATGTCGTCATTCATAATTGATCGTTATCCATGTCACAGTTGAATATGTAAATTTACGGCGGTAACGTACCTCTACCTTGCAATTTCCAGTATGATCTACTTCACTGAACCGTGCCACTACAGAGGTTTCGCTGTTTCGCTAGTGTCCTGGGTTCCATTGTTCTTGATATTCAGTATATAGACTTTTTGTAACTACTCAGCTTAAATTCACCTGGAAGTTTAAGTTTTCACAGACCGACATATAAATATAAGCCAATTAGATAATTTTATTTCCATGTATCTTTCAATGAGATGTTCACAGCTCAACCAGATCTCGGTTCATTTAGCGCAAACTCTCAGAATATGCTTGAAACATGTGTCTCTACAAGAATCACATTAGATAACAATCAACTTTTTTCTGGATAGAGGCCATGGGCGTACAAAGCCCGTAATCAGCTTCTCGAAGTTTTCTCTTAACTTCGAGTCCCACGCATATTCTGACAGAACCCATCTTGGATGTTGATATGGGCGGTAGTATATTCGAAAATATGACCCATATCCACACTCAACTAGCTCATTGTGAATGTTTCAACTTTCTTCGTTGCTTCGGTCGTGAGATACAAGCATTAAAAGTTCTGTTGTATGAAAAAGCGAATTGCTTACTTATGTTTGCATCTTACAACATAAGTAACTGAAAAAGCAAAAATTTTTACGAATTAATCTCATAAAGAATATTATCTCTGCAAAGCTTCAAGTCGAAATATGAAAATCAACTTTCAACGTGAACTGAGGGTATACTGTAAGATTTTGTTAAAAAAATCAGTAAAAATTTGTTTCTCGGAAATCTTACGACTAAAAAGGTTAAACAAGCATCGGTAATCGCCATTAAGTGCAAATCATAGTTACACAAAATCTCAAGTTATCAACCATACTAACTGTAGGGATTACTCCTGTCTCCCTTTTTCTGTCTACTCTGCTCTGTTCGTTGAAGTATTAGTCAATTTCAGAACCTTATCTGTTTTCTGTTGTGGCCATGTATTTTTCTTTTTGTGAAGTCAATTAAATGATATCACGTGTGCCAAAGATTCTCTGTACTTTTGAATTAAATCCCTCGAAACCTGGTTAAATTATAGTCTTCACATTGGAACACTCACGGGAACAAAGATCGCTATTTTGGTTTAGCAATGTGTACTGAACGCAGACAAGGAATTCCGCTTCACTTAAGACAATATGGATTATTCAGATCTTGAGAACAGCTGTGCGTATAACTTCTGTTGTACACGAAGATGTAGGCAGCAGTACATCCATTTGCTATTTTGAGAACTCAACATAAGTTGTCCTGCTTCCAATCGAGAAGAAATACAAGAATCTCAATTAACTCAATAGATTTCAGCAGCTAAATAATTGTTGACTGTGATCAACATTCTTACTTCAAGAGTTTTGTAACTTTTCAGTACATATAGACACTTGCACATCGGAGAATTACAGAAAATTGCGAAAATACCAGTTGATATTTTGCATATACAATGCTAATTTTACTATTTCAAGATGATTGACCAATGTCAATATTCGCCTTCCATGGAGTCCTTCTGCTCAAATTCACTGCTGAAACATCCGGTTACTCATGCATTTCGATTGAAAACTCTTTGCAAAAATAAAATCGGCCAATCGCTCCAGTTGCTCTACGATAAGCAGCATGCCCATAAATATGATCCTACCTGTTGTATCTTGTCAACAACCTTCGATTTCCACTCAGATATATCACGTGCTATCCTGAATTACACTCCAGCAACAAAAACAACGCCAGAAGACCTGATGCTCACATGCTATTATATCTTCTTATTTAAGCTGACAAATGGTAACAGAAACTTTTGCATCTGGCGAAACCTCAAGGTTGGACATCAAGCTGACTTCTTCGGTCAGATCGAACTGTAGGTCAGAATACTCATTACTCTCTATATCGCTCGTTTTTCTCATTTGCATTTAGAATTTCATTTCCACTGAATATTGATCCCCACCTTTCCGTATCGCAACTACTTCTCCAAGTTCACAACCTATCAATCAATACCATACAACATGAGAACATTTATTCTCCCGATATTATTCACAACAATTCATCTTCGTTCGGACCCGCCTCGTTAGAAACCTTTTTTGAATTTCAAACAATTTCTCACAATACTGACAATACGTTAGAGTCGTGGAATCCTATAAGAGTTGATAACGTATGCTACATTGTACCACCGTCACAGAGAAATAATATGACAGCAGATGACATACACAGTAGATCAAACTGCTCCATGAAGGTTCAACATTATCTCGATAGTCACACATTTAGAGCTACAATCCAATGCTCTTGTGAATTGTTCAATGAAACGACTGTAGAAGCACTAGCTACTCG